GCATATAATCCCATCACTCAAGAGGCAGAGGCAGGTAGAGCTCTGTGAGTTCCAGGCCTGCTGGGGCTACAGGGAGACCCTGTCTCAAAAAGACCAAAATGAAAAATAAAAAAAAAATAGTGCTTTGAGGCTTGGCCTTTCTTATGCCAGATACTGTGAAAACGTGTGCAGATGTAATGACCCTTCTCATCACTGCCCCCAGCCCGCTACCTACACACTGATTATTTTCTTTCCCTTGAATATTCTGTGCTTGCTCTTTCTTATCTCTGAGGTCTTTCTCCCAGCTTCATTGCTTAGGAACACTCTTGTGTCCCTTATGGTCTTTGCAGTATTCTCAGCTTTCAGCTTTAGAGAATTCTCCCTCCAGGAACCTCCCCTGATTTGTCAAATAGGAGGTGGTTGTCCCTGACAGGAGAGCTAGCGTTCCTCTGTTTACTATGATAGTTTTGCATTCCTTTGCCTTTCCTGCTTTTCACACAAAACAGTAGGTGTCTCAAGGGCCAGGCCCATATTCTGCCTACTTCTATTCCAGATCCCAGTTCAATGACTGATGTTACTACTCAGAAAGCACTATTATAGTTATGAATGGTTAACGCTCTCCCTGGGTATCCCTCATTCCACATCCAGACCTCCAAAAGTCTTGAAAATATGACCTTATAATCTATTGTCAATGAAACAAAACTTAGATATTTTTGCTATTATCACCTTTGTTTTGAAAAAAAAATTGTGTCTAAGTTATCTCTCGTGTATTCTGGGATAGTTTTTCCATGATGAGGTTCATCTTTCCTGGAGCAAATTTCTGAAGTCTAGAGTAACTCTGTTTGCCACGTAGCCTTCTTCAGACTGTCCTTTCACTACATTCTGTGCAAACATAAGAAATGAAAGCAAACAGAACTAATTGAAGTAGTCATCAAAACGGAATCTTAGAGCCAGGTGTGGTGGTGCACACCTTTACTCCCAGCATTTGAGAGGCAAGGCAGGTGGATCTCTGTGAATTGGAGGCCAGCCTGGTCTACATAGGGCGTTCCAGACCAGCAGGGGCTACAGGAAGACTATCTTTAAAAACAAAAAACAACAAGCAAACAAAAAAACCAACAAAAAACAGAATCTTGAGTTGGGTGTAGGGCATTTGCATGTAGTCCAGGCTTTTAAAAAGCTGAGGAAGGAGAGTCACCTGAGTCCAATCTGGAGACCATAGTGAGATTCCATCTCAAGAAAGAAAAGGGAAAATAAGAACAGCAGATCTTAAGACTAGAAATGGCTCAGCGGTTAAGAGCGCTGTCTCTTGAAGAAGACCCAAGTTTGGTTCCCAGTACTCACATGGTGGCTAACAACCATCTATAACTCCAATTTCAGGGGCTATAACGCCCCTTTCTGAACTCCACAGGCATTGCATAACATGGGTACACTTATATACACACAGGAAATATACTCATATGCATAAAATAAAAATAATAAAATATATAAAAAAGAAGAACAAATCTTTATAGAATTAGCAAAATAGAGTTTGGTAGTTGGGTGTAGTGGCATGCCTCTTTAATCCCAACACTTGGAAGACTGAGGCAGGAGGAATGTGAATTCCAGGACAGTCTGGGCTACATAGTTAGACCCTGTTTCAAAATGAATTTAAAAAAAAAGTTTGTTGCATTTCAAAAGTAAAGTATCAATCCCTTTGAATTCCCTTTTCTTTTATCATTGATTATATAAAGACTGTATAAATTATGTCATAATTTTATATTTGTATTTTTTTAAGTTTTTAAAGTTT